CCGGACGTGGTACAGGTTGAAGACGAAGTCTGTCCCTGGGGAGGAGGAGTGGGGAGGTCATCACCCCGCATCCCTGTGTACCCGTGACCCTCTGCGCACCCATACTCATGGTGCCAGCACTGTCCCCTCTGGTAGCAGCGGACAAAAGCATAGATGAAGAGGAGGAGGATCAGCAGGGCCAGCACGACGCCCACCACGAGCCCAAGCATGCCGTTGGGTTCTTGTCCTGCAAGGCAGGGGGCAGAGGCTCCGCAGAGGGACCCTAATGCTCCCTGACCATGGCTGGGAGGAGGCTGGGCAGGGAATGGGGACCAGCACGTCGTGCCACTCACACAGTGCCGTGGGACAGCAAGAGCATCCTGCTCTCAGGCACATGCGCACACATGGGAGCAGTGCAAGCATGCGGCATCCCCTAGCTCTGGTGCAAAACTCCCCGCACGGAGCCTGGCACCCTCCCTGGTCCTGTGGCAGAGACCCTTGATGTGGGCCGTACCCAGGTGCGCCTGCAGACCCATTTCTGGACGGGCAGTTCCCTCTAGAGGACGCGTGTGTCAATGCAGGCTCTGTCACTGTGCTGGGCTGCTGCTGGGATGCCGGGAGGCTGTGCTGAGCACGGCAGCACCTGCCTGTCCTGCGCTGCGGGGCCCCAAGATGGGCCCAGTACAGGTCACAGCTCCCAGCATCACCATAGGGACCCAGTGTGGCCGACGCAGCACAGCCGGAGCGGGAGCCGCCGTGTCCGGATGGCCGTGACACAGAGCCGAGCGCGGTGCACGGCACGGGCTGCCGCTCCTGCTCCCCTAACACCTGGCACGAGCATCACCAGGGACCCTCTCCACTTCACGAGGGGATGGCAGGGCTTGGACACATCTAGAGGCACTGGCGCACGTGGAGGCTCCGGGGCAAGCTGCTGGCGCGTGGCGAGGGTGCCGTGCCTTGCAGCACCACGAGTGAGACAGCGGAAAGGGATGACCTAACAGCAGCTAAATTTAGACAGATGCCAGTGGAGTGAGAGCATTTCCCCTGTGGTCACAGTGTTTACATAGTGAGCAACGTGCCAAATTCTCCTGCAACCCGCAGCACTTGCTTGACCTGCCGGGATGCGGCAAAGCCCCAGTGCGCATGGCACTGCCGCCTCCCACGTCGCGCAGTGTCCTGCGAGTGGGCCCCACCTGCCTTTCCCATGGGACATGGTGGGGGGTAGCAGATGTGGGTAGATGGTGCATCCTGCTTTGGCCAGGCAGGCAAGACTGAGAGCACCTGGAGACGGGGCAGTGCAGCCCACGCTCTGGCATCAGGCCAAGATACATGAGCCTAGGTACCGGAATAGCAGGATACCTGTCCCGGGCCCCATGCCCCAGGATGGGCACTGCCTCCCGTGGGAGGCTCCCGAGCAGCGGAAGTGCAACGGGGAGTGCGTGGTGCAGCGGGGGCCGGCGCGCGACTTCACCTGCTCCTCTTCAGCTGCTGACGCAGTCTGCTCTCCGCCCCGGCCGCGCAGGGCCGGGAAGTTCCTCGCCCGACGGGTTCCTGGGGCAGAGGCGGGAGCACCGGCAGGCCTGGCTGCCCGGGTGAGGGGCAGCCCGTCGGCAGCACCACGCGCACACTCCTTGGCGGGCATGGCTAGGGGCTCTACCGCACGCCAGGCAGCCCTGGGAGCCCGGGAGCAGGGATGTTGGGACTCCGTAGGCAATGGCACCCAGGCTGACAGGCTGTCTCATGCCGCACAAGACACTTACCACTGTGCTCAAGCATCATCTCAAAGGCCTGGACACCCGGTCAGGGGATCCAGGTGGGAATCGCTGCCTGCATGGGACAGAAAGTGGGGAACTACTCTGTGGCTGCAGGGGGAAAACAGCAGAGAGGGGTAACCATTAAAATCACAGCACAGCCTTGGGTGAGACGAGCGTGGCCCGGGCCTGACCCCTGAGGGTGCCGGGGAGCCACGTGGCCAGCGGCACGCCAGGAAACGGAGCCGGCTGCCTGGGGCAGGATGGGCGGCCGTGCTCCAGGAAATGGAGCCGCGGAGGTGCGCGGAGCCGTGACATAACATCTGCAAATCTCGGCTGCTTCCTCAAAGCCATCGCGCCACCTCAGAGGAGGAAGAGGGCTCGCCGCCACCTCCTGCCCCAGGGATGTGGGGGCTGCGTTCTGTCCTGCATGGGCCCTAGCAGCCTGCCCAGACCCTAAGTGCTGCAGCGTGGTGGCAGGTGCACAGGCCGGAGCTTGCTCCAGAGAATCTCCCTGACTCCTGCCAGCCTCAAGTGACCTGATTTCCTTTGTGACACCTGCGTCCAGCCCCATTCCAACACCTCTGGATCCCCACCTGTCCAGAGAGAACCCCCCTCACCTTCAGAGCAGGGCGCAGACACCAGCAGTCTCTGAGCTGTCTGCCCTTCTGCATAAGCTGGTGTCCCGACTGCACCTAGAGACAGGGGTGGCATGTGTCCTGGGTCAGGAACCGCAGGGATGTGGGGCTCTAGGACCCCCCCGCTGGCACAGCACATGCACCTGGCAGCAGTGGCCCTGCCCCGCTATTGGGAAAGCCTGGCAAGGAGAGCAGGGAGGCAATCAGCCACACACCCTGCGCTTGCCGCCTCTCCTTCCCAAGGCTGGGATTTCTAGCCCAGAGCAGCCAGGGCCGCCCGCGGGTCGCACACCCGCTGACCCCACGCGCTCCTCGTGCCAGGCGTGCGCCCAGCCGCCTCCTCCTTCCTGCAGCTGCCGGCTGTCCCCGGCACCGGCACCGGCGCACCCGGGAGGGCAGCGCGGCCTGTTCCGAGCACGGCCTGCTGCTCCGCTTTCCCACAGCGCAGTGCCGAACTGCATCCAAAGGGCATCTCTGCACCCCGACCCACGGGGTTGCTGATGGGGCAGCCCTGGGCAAACACGAGCACTCATGCTGCCTGGCAGTACCAACAGGCAAATGCAGCCCCTCTTTTCCCCAGGACGTGTGTCCAGCTCGCCTTGTGCTGCCAGGTGCGGAAGCAGAAACTGGGTGACCTGAGGGACAGGAGCATGGTGGCCCGGTAACCTTGGGTATAAACTCTTCCCCTTTCCTCCTCCGCCTATTAAAATCTGCTTCATAAAACAGCTCGGTGCAATGCGGAAGAGATGGGCCAAGAGTGAGACAGTTGTGGTTGCTCTTATCGTCAGGGTAGGAGCACACAAAAGTCACCCTGTCAGTCACTTCATTCTTGATAAGTTATTTTGTGACAGTGGCTGCACAAGTGAGTCACTCGGCAGCAGTAGATGCTCCAGAGATTACAGCAGGTGATGGTACTGCTGATAGACTGGTGTTATATTACAATAGAAATCATAATTCCTGTTCCACAACTCCCCTTGTGGGTTTTAAGGAGTGCTTGGGCGGTCCTGTCCCAGTGCTTTTACAGCACGGGCAGGGCTGGGCCGGAGCGGCCGGAGGGCATCGCCTGCGCTTCCAGGGGCTGCGGAGGACTCGGCGCCGCACGACCATGGTGAGTTACCCTCTGTGCCACCTCCGTGCTGGCTCCGGTGGGGACGGCCTGTGCTAGCGCCGCGGGTGAGAGTGTGTAAAGAGCAGCATCGGGATCCACAACCTGCTGCTCCTCAGGCCCGTTCGCCCACAGCCGCGGGGCCAGGCCCCACCGCCCCCTCTCGCTGGGCGCTGCTGCTGTGGCTGTTGGGCACAGCAGCTGCTGCTCCCTTGTGCTCCCACACTTCCCTGTGGATTTCCAACTGGGAAGTGGGCAGGCAGGGCACTGGTCCCCTCACAGCTCTGTACCCAGGGCCCTTCCATAGCATATTCTCCTCCTTTTTATCCCATTGCCAGCACATGAGTCCTCTAACTCGCCTGCTACATGTCCCGGTGGGATACATGTTTGGGGCTGAAGCGCCAACCCAGGGTCGTGGCCCCACTGCAGTGCAGTCCATAGACCCGCACTCACTGCCCCTGCCAAGGCCAGGCTTTGCTTGGGAGCGTCCCACCCCTCAGTGTCCCTTGCCCACTTAGCTAGCACGGTGCTAGCGCGCTTCCCGAGGCTGGGGCACAGCAGCCTCATTAGTCACGGCAGCTAGCAGTTTCCAAGGAAATGGTGCTTGCGCGCGGCGTGGAGGTTGGCATGGCTGCGGCCATGCTTGGTTTAACCTGTGCAGCTTTGCTCCGAGCGTGGCTTGCAGAGAGAGGGAGAATGCACCTTGGGCAGTGCCAAGCTGTGAATGCACTGCAAATCAGGGCAGGAGAAATGGCAAAAAAACCTCGGCAGCGGCCATAGCTGCTGGGGGCGGGAGCTGGCGGGAAGAGCCAGCAGGCAGGGCAGGGCGCACGGTTCCTGCAGGGAACCGTTAGGCTCCCATTAGCTAGGTCATGCCCGGCCCCAGCCGCGGTGACACAAGATGTCACCATGAGGAAGGACCGGGCGGCAGACGCGGGGAGCGAGTGGGCCACATTGCAAAGCTCCGTGTGACCCCTTGCACTGCTGCTCCCCGTCCCCAGCCCAGCCGCCCTGCGCAGGGTTGGGCTCTCACCCAGAGCAGCAGTGTAAACATGCCCCAGCTTGGCAAGGGAGGAAACAGGCTGCTCTTAAAGGCACTGGAAGGAAAGCACAAAGAGCACAGGCTCCTAAACCACAAAATCACTTGGCTTTTGCTCCAGGATATGCAGGCTTATGGTAGCATTTGCCTCTGTTCATGCTGAAGAGATGTCCTGAAAAAAAAGCCAAGCCTTACCTGTTGCAGTAGAGACTAGAGAAAACAGCAAAGGGAGTGGTGTTGCTGAGGGCTGGAAGGAGCCTCAAAGTACTGTGTTAATGTGCCGCTGTCATCGCCTCAGAAGGACAGCTGCACGCTTGCAGGATGCACACAGCCAGGGAGCAGCTCTCAGCAGCAGGGTCCAGGTAGGAATGCAAAACTGGGAAGAGGGAACGGTGCAGAATATCCCCAGAAACCACGTGAACAGCCACTGAACACTGCTTGGCACCAGCCTGGTGGTCCCGTCCTGCTGCCGCCTGCCACAAGCGGTGCAGGTGCCTGCAGGATCAGGAGGCAGCAGTGCCGTATTCGTGCTGCTCGGCAGTGGTTGCAGCAGGGGCTGTTTGCCGGGTCTCCTAGCAGCGTCGCGGCTCTGCTCCACCCTGAGCTCCCCCGGGGTGCTTTCTCTGGGGCTCCAGAGGCTCCGGCAGTGCTAGGACAACCACTGGCAGCGGTGTTCCCACCAGAGCATGCCAACTGTGCCAGGGTCGGGCCAGCCGAGGCCAGGAGCACAAGTCTCGCCGTCGCGGGCCGGGGAACACAAGTATTTTGACTGAATGTTTTGTGGCACATCAGCAAGCAACTCTTGTATAAAGCCTGTGAATGGTTAGGCCTCGTTGGCATTAAAAAGATAGGAACTCTAAGAGCCAGTTACCTGAACGGTGTATGGGGTGCCGTGGGGCAGGGCATGGCTGGGCTCACCCTGGGTGAGAGCCATGATGTTGCACGGGTTGGTGGCATGAGCAAGCAGCTCTGGCAAGGCCTAGCTCTGCAAGAGACTCCTTGGTAACGATGTGCCAGGATCCGTGTCCCCGTGCCTTCACCATGTCCCTGCTCTCGCAGCCGCATGTGCAGCAAGGAGTCACCATGGCGTGAGCTGGACTCATGCCTCCCACCCGCCAGCTGCTCTTCCCGTGCACTTTCTGCTCCTTACCCGGGTTTTCCTCTCTGATTTGCAGGACGAAGCCTCCGAGCGACCACTGAACGGCAGAGGTAATGCCCGCTAGTACAGGAGCACGGCCCCACCGAGCCTCGTGCCACTCAGTCACGCTCCTCTGTGCTGCGTTGCAGGTGCCAGGGCAGGTCCCAAGGCCTCCACAGCACTGCAGAACTTCAAGCGCATCGGCATCCCCATCCTGGCGGTCGTGCTCGGCCTTGCCAGCCTCATAGCCATCGGCTTCTTCGGTATGGCCCCTGCTCTCCCCCACCATCGCTGGGCTGAGGCAGGACCAGCTTGGTCCCTCCCCACGGAGCCCCAGCGCTGATCCCCATTTCCCTGCAGTCAAGATCTACCTGGACTACTACTCGAGCCCGCCGGCGCGGCTCCTGCCGCGGGAGCAGGCGTGCGACGGCCAGGTCGACTGTGCGCAGGGCGAGGACGAGGCCAACTGTGCCCAGTGGATGCCCGATGGGCCGCAGGTGGCCGGTGAGTCCGGGACGCTGCAAAGCCCATGTGAAGCCTCAGCCCTCCCCGGCAGGGCTGATGCCACCTCTCTCTCCAGTCCGCATCTCCAGGAACAGATCCACGCTACAGGTGCTGGACACCCTCACTGGAGCCTGGTGCGAGGTCTGCCATGACTACTTCAACCTTACCGTGGCCGAAGCGGCTTGTAAGCAAATGGGCTACAGCAGGTAGGAGGCTGCTAGCTGCCCTGCTTCCCAAAGGGCTGCGGGGCTGAGTCCCCACTCAGCACCCCGTGGTCCCCCCCGTGCCAGAGCAGGCCCTGGTTTCCAGCAGCGTGGCCGCAGGGCTGGCTCTGTGCCTAGCCCAGGTTTTTGCTTGCCATTCCTACACCTCAGGGGACTGTGGGTCACAAATCTGCTCCCATTAGAAGATCGAGGTGGCCTTGCCTGTGTCGTTGGTGTGCTGGCACGGTACTGCCATCCATGGGACCAGGACTCTACATCCCCTGTGGACGTCCTCCTCAGAGCACCACTCTGAGCCAGGCTTTTCCTCCGAGGCATTGGCTTGCAATGCACAGCTTAGCTGCACCTGATTACAGCAGAGAAACCTTGACAGCCTCCAGCGTTAGGTGTCAGTCCTAAGAAATGAGGGACTCGGTGCCAAGAATATGGTTCTAGTCTGCAGCAGCAGTGTCACTGGCCCCAGATGAATCCCTGCTCCCCTGGGAGATGGAATTGGACCAGAAATGGCTATCCCACACCAAAGGCGCCGGTGCATCCTGCTGACCCCTGTGCCTCCACTCGGTGTCTTGCAGCCCCCCTTCTTTCCGGGCGGTGGACACGGGCGACAAGCAGTCCCT